CCCCCCCCCGTCGCCTTTAGCGAGCCACCAGAAAGGTAGGCATTTGCGGCACAAAACAAATGCATTTTTGCAACCGACAGTGCATCGGTCACTCGCAGCGGCTTGCATGGATGGAATGAAAACATCACATCGTGTTTTAAGAGATATCACACAGTCTGTTACGCGAGGCGTGGTCTGGCGTACATGAAGGTAGTTAGTTTACTCGGAACAATGCGAAAGTATGATTCAGATAAGAAGGGTTACTTGTGTTTGAACGATGTTTTCAGTGATCGTATTGGAGATAGAATGATACTTTTTGGAAAGCTTCAAATCAAAACCCTCTAAACAAACATCTTTTTTAGCACTACAACATAAAAGTATATCTCTGTAAATCAAAGTGTGATACTGACTGCACGTTTTCTGTGATACAGAAATATTGCACGATGGTGTGATGATCATCTCAGAAAAAGTACAACATTAAATTCATTGCTTATATTTGGGATGACCACCACTCATTTGAGCGATACTTTTATGTATCACAGTTTTGTGCGATGTACATTCACACCGTTTGGTAGGAAATCCGAAATCATCGCATTATTTTGCAATAGGCATCACATAAAATTTGTGATAAAAATTGACCCCTTCCCCAGGAGTGATAAATCGTGGGAATCACACTGGGCGTTTTATCGCACGAAAATGTGTGAAAAGTATCACACTTCGAATTACAGTGATTCGATTCGATTTTTGGTTGATTCAAATTTTCTTGGAAACCTGGATTTTTAGAAGGGTCTCCACCTAAGTGCGTTTGTTGGCTGTATACAGACGCCCCAAACACCGAATTTGACTACGTTGTGATTGGTGGAGGGTCCGCTGGAAGCGTTCTTGCTGCGAGATTGTCCGAAGAACCATCAATAAAGGTACTGCGTGTGCGAGATTTATTATTTTTGCTTGCAGTCGTTCGCACTCTCTGCCCGCTGCGTACATCTGCGACTGCTAGGGAGTGTGAACGCTCTTTTTGCAGGTTCTTTTGCTGGAGAGAGGAGGCCACGAGGCACCTGAAGCCAGGGTTCCTGGATTCACGACCAACAACATAGGCAGTGCCATGGCAGAGACAATACAAGTAGGTGCAAGAATGTGCGGCCAGTAACAGGGTATTTCGCGTGAGACTTGGGGCAAGGATCGAGACCGAGTGGTGGGTGGTCGCCACCCTCCCCTTCTCCCACCACTCCCTCCGTGCCGAGCATTTAACCCTCCTAAATTGGTTAAAAACCTCCTAGCCCCACTTTCCAGGGACATCTAAACATTCCTCGTATCTTCAGGTTTACCTAGTACTTTCGTTTCCCCTGTTTAAATCGCTTTTTAATTAATAATCATCGAAATCACGGTGCTCTGACGGGGCGGGACGCGCCCGGCCCTGCGCAGGCTCATTTGGAGGGAGTCTTATGTGGAAAACGGCACATCTCTGAAGAAAACCGACTAGATCTACGGAAAGCCCATAGAACGAACCGTGCATTGGGACTGGAACTTCCAAACACCAACATATTCACTACACTGAAATTGTAAAGTCACAACATCGCAGAGCTTGTTGTCATCCGTGTGTTCTGCTACGGGTATGAGAAACGTTGCGGTATAGTCTAAGCGGTATGACCTGGAATATCAAAACAATACTGCAAAATGTATATTAAGCGTGATTTTTTTTTACACGTTCCCTAGACCCAGTTGGTCGATTTGACCCGCCGGTCACCAAAATCTGACCCATAGGAGCAGAGATTTTAACGCATTTGTTCAAAATTTAACCGAAAATGACGAAAATTTCAAAATTGTCGTAGAGACGCCTTCTGGGATATTTTGAAGGCAATGGCAAAAAGTCAAGTTTTAGGATTTAGGATTGTTTCACTGTAATTCAAAGTGTGATACTTTTCACACATTTTCGTGTGATAAAATGCCCGGAGTGATTCCCTTGATTTATCACTTCTGGGGGAGTGATAAATTTTTATCACAAATATTGTGTGATACTTATCGCAAAATAATGCGATAATACTGGATTTATTGCAAAACAGTTTGATGCACATAGCACAAAACTATGATACCTCGAAGTATCGCTCAAATAAGTGATTGTTATCACAAATGTAAGCAATGAATTTAATCTTGTACTTTTTCTGCGATGATCATCACAACATCGTGCAATATATCTCTATCACAGAAAGTGTGCAGTCAGTATCACACTGTGATTTACAGTGTTGACAAACAACATACAATCTAAAAACTGCGCGTTTTTTGTTTTTTTTTCATTCGTAAGCAAAAGCAGAAGGGTGGGGTGTAGTCACGGTGTTGCCCCGTTACAGTCTTGTCATGTCAAAGGAGCAAATTTCTAGGGCAGCAGGCCCCCGCCGGACTCCTTAGTTTACTCAAAAATGCAAAGTGATTTACCGGTCACATTATTTATTTGGTTATGCACTTCAGTAAATCGCGAGACTGGAATGGTCGGGCCGAAGGGGGCCCTTGGCTGGGTCAAGGAGATAGGGACAAGTACGGGAGAGATTGTGGCGGGCTAAGGCCCGACTATCGCCGCCGGCAGGCCAAGCAGGCCCGGCCCCTGCTGAACGGAGTTGCCGGCGCAGCGAAGTGGAGCTGGCAACTCCGTTTGGCGGAAGGGCGGGCCTGCTTGTTCTTCCATCACTTCCGTTTCGAAATTTGCAAAACCCCCAGGTCAACAATAGCGGTATCTTGTAAGAGTAAATAGCAATTTTTTGACACTTGCCAACCCATCCGTTGCGCTACAATTGAGCACACCGAAAGGAACTGCTACCATTCCAGTTGAAGGTGAAGATCCGCATGTTCCTTGGGAGTGCGCGCACCGGCGTCAACGGCAAAATAAGCATCTATCTATGCTCTTAATACACCTCTAACCCTAAATCGATGCAGCATGTACTTTTTAGGTACTGACTATTCTTGCAAACCCTTACATTTCACAGGTCTGACACCTTAAGGGACTCCTTTTAAGCAGACGACCTTCAAAAGCCTTGGACTTTATATAAAGAATATATAAGTAACTGAAAGGTGTCAGCTAGCTTTTAATCTCGAAACGGCAAGAGCGACGGCAAGAGAATCAAGCGGAGACCAGAAAACAATTTCTTTAGCGCTGGCGGAACCTGCCACGGTTAAACCAATGTTTCATATTTTGAGGAAAAGGGGAAAATTTTTAAGGGACTCCCACGTTTGATGAAGAGTCCTCTGATATCGCCTCAGATTTTGAGGAATCATCGCAAAATCGAGGAAAAATCTTACATTTTTTGAGGAGATCTCCTCGAAATCTGAGGAGTAAACGTCAAACCGGGGAGTTCCTTGGAGTTTTCCCTTTTCCCTAAAAATTTGAGAGATTGTTTTCACCGTGTGTCCAAGTGCCTGAGTGAGTGTCACTTCAAGCTCCTCCCCTTACCCAGCCCAACTGTACTAGGCTCCCACGGACGCCCTCCTGCCGACCGTCTGCGCCCGTCAGTGCCCAACAATACTGGTCTCGTATCTACCCTCGCCGGTCGCTCTGCCCACCCTTTGTTTCTTCTCTACGTAGCTAAATATGAGAGAAAATTAGAACACAGGCCTATTCTTAAATTTGTATCATCTGCTTTCAAGACCAATTCTTGATTCAGATTTTCCATTATTCAAACCGAATAAGCACCAGCACATGAAGCAAGTTGTGTCATTTCTTTAAGGCCATCCCAGAGCCGCAAAACTGCAACGGCACCGGATGTCTGCTCAACGTGCCCTCCGTACTCGGCGGTGGGAGCACCATCAACGGCATGCTGTACGTCCGGGGCAGCGACGTGGACTTTGATACGTGGGCGAAAATTACAGGGGACGGACGCTGGAGCTACAACAACGTTCTTCCTTACTTCAAGAAGTCGGAAGACAACTTAGACGCTGCCATCAACCGCAACAAAAGTATAACGTATTCCTTGTCATAAAATTCTTCACTGTTCGTCGTTTGCCCTAAAACAACGCTAGAAAAGAAAGATAGTGGGCACAGGATACGAGATAGTAGATAAAGACTGAAGCAAGAGCCAAAATGCCGAGTAAGTCCATGCACTAAATCTGAATGGACTATTTTTGTTCCTAGGAGAAAGAAGCGTTCTTGTGCACATCTTGACCTGATACATAATTTATTGTAAGATACAAATGACTTATTTGCACCTCCATCATAGACAAAGCGAAAATTTGTTCTCTGCTGGATGCAAAATTGTCGCTTACAGTAGAAAGTTTTGTTGGAAACTTCCAAACAATTGACTGGAAAATGTGCACCCCGAATAGTTGGGAAAATTTAAACATAGTTCTGCAAACTGTTGGGAAAATTCTCATGAACTCTCGACCAACATTTCTAAATTTATTTACACATTGTCATTTTTGTGGTCACTAAACCTAGTTTTGATGTAAAATAGTAACTCGATTTTTTTTAACAATATTTTTCCGAACTATGGACAAAACACAGTCCGGTCAGACTTAGTGTCAATTGCACTGGGCATTTTAATATACGAAAATGTGTGAAAAGTGTAACACATAGAATTTCAGTTAGACTTTACGTGGAGAAAGGACAGATTTGAAACGTTACATTTTGTACCTATTGTATTAATGACTTGCGTTTGCGTCCAGTTTACAAACAAATTTGCACCTGTTTGTGATGTGCTGTAGAACGCGTCCACCCTACATGCAACGCTGACTATTCCCGTCTGGATTTGTAGTGAGTCTATGCACGCAGAGAACCGTTTCTTTGAATCAACGAAGTCTGCTTTAAAACAAAGAAATTCTTTACTCAATGTAGATTTTTAAAAAATGGTTTCGAATCAAAGCAGCCTATTTTGATCCAAAGAGGGCCTTCTTTGATTTTAAGATGTTTGTTCAATTTAAAGAAACAATCTTTATGTTTCAAAGAAATATATCTTTGATTCAAAGAAAAACGGCTAAATTGAATTTTCTTGCATTTGAGATCGCTGCTTCAAATCTATATCTAAGAAACGATTCTTTGGATTGAAGTAGAATTTTCTTCTTTTCTTTTATTCAAAGAAATAAATTTGATTCAAGGAAACCCTTTCTTTAAATTAAAGAAGGCTGCTTTGATTCAAAGCAGTTTCTTTAAATTAAAGAAATGCCTCAAATTAAAAACTTATTTCAAATCAACGAAACGATTCTCTGGGTGTGCATCGAATTCGTTTCCTATTCCTATCTGTGCCCTTCTGGTAGGGCACCACGGTCGCGGTGGCCCTCAGAAAGTATCCTGGGAGTCCTACCGACACCCTGCCATGGCACCGCTCGCAGCAGCGATGAATCAGCTGAGGATTCCTTTTCGAGGTGACATCAACGCCCACGGACAGCTGGGCCACTCCATTGCGCAGTCAACCCAGGCAAGTAGTCCTCTCCTCACATATGCATATTCCGAACATTCGAATCCTCAAAGAGACTCGACGGATCCTATGAACGTCGTCCGATATTTGGCTTTAAGCATTTACACAGAACTTCCCAAGACTAATTGGAAAGTAACGACTCATTGCTTCTTTGTGAAGTTTTCAAAAGTCGGTAATCGTTAATCAATCGGTTGTCATTTTTAGGATCTCTGATTACCTGACAGGGTATAAAAAAAAACAAAAAAAAAACAAACTGCGGGAACGATTTTAATTTTGAAAAACGCACCTAAAAAGGCTTTCTGTAGTTGTTTCTCTAAAAGATCGTTAGACCTCGCGCCTTTTTCTCGATTGTACAGAGTCAATACTTACCTGTACATAGCCTACCCTTCAAACGCATTGGTGCCAACCCTTCCAGTGAACTGTACTCTACACAGTAGTGTCTTATGAACTCCGAAGCCTCAACCTTTAATCTCGTAAAACAACTTTGGTTCCTTTTACCCGTCTGTCCCTTTGTGGACCTTCAACTGAGAAAATCCGCTCAATGTGTGGAAGTAATGTTGCAATGTAATGTTGACATAAGAACAGGTTAGGACATATGATCTTGGAGGTCTGCCATGTGCCCCTTAAAGGCCGTGTTTTAGAAAGATGAAGTGTGCAAAGAATCAGAGTTTAGTTTGGACCCAGTTAGAAGGCTCCTGGCCCGAGCAGGGGCAAAGTCGGCAAAGTTTCTTAATTTGCCTTAGTAAAACACCCCGAAAAGCGATAAAAGGAACCGAAGTGGGAACAGGACAACGATCCAGACGATTCAACGACGATTTGGAACGAATATACACGTTTTTCTGGTCATCGCCCTACGCTGATCCTTTCGCTGCAGGCACATGGCGAGCGATGGAGTACGTATCGAAGCTACCTGGAACCAGTAATGAAGAGGCGTTCAAACCTTCGCGTGGAAACATTCGCTACTGCTCGAAAAGTTCTGCTAGAAACATTTCAGACAGGCCCGAGGGCAGTTGGTGTGGAGTACGAAAACGCGGCAGGCCAGGTACGTACGTGACTCTGGCAATTTAACAGTGAACATTCATTGTACACAGATAAAGAAGTAAACACACCACTCACGAAATGGCGAGGGGTGATCTTTGTGCGTAGGCAAGATGTTTCTTGTGCACATCTAAATCTGATTTAAATCTGTACACTGTAATTCTAATACTGTGACGTCACATTCTATAGAATGTTAATTCAATCATATTAATTACAATAGCATGTCACATTCCCCAGAACGTGACGTATCTCTGAATTCTGAATCGCTCAGTACATGGTAGGCGTAGGCTACCTATGTATATTTATTGTGTATGTAACGTATACAGATCCGCCAGTGCATGTTCTCCATTAATGGAAAGTGACAATATTGTACCTAGATTAGATGTGTCCTCCTACACATCTTCATCATCGACAAAGTTGTCTGTTCAGATAGACGAAATGTATCTGGACTGGGTACAAATGCTTTATTTTGTATGCCATGTAGATATAAATTTGTATTCCATTGAGATGTGTACAAGGACACTTACTTTTGGTGACGGCACACTTAATCTGAAGGGACTATTTCTGTCCCTGGAAAACGCATTTTTGTTCACATCTTTTCCAGATAGAATATTGTATGGTAAAAATGACGAATTTGCATCGCAATCGTAGACAAAAAGATTTGTCCATAGTGAGGATGCATAGTTGTCACTGACTGGCTATATTCTGCAGTGCTTGTGATCAAGATGTGCAGAAAAATGCGACTTGCTAGGGACAAAAAAAGTCCCTTCACATGTATTCTGGACTACCTTCCTTCCTCACCATCGGCCCAAAGCAGCCAGCCGTCCTCTCGTATTCAGAAAAACAAAATACATTTTTATTTTACTTTAATCGCCGAGCCCCTGTCCGACCCCACTTCAGACGCCCCTAATTCAAACTGACATATTTTGTACTGCAGTACAGTTTCTCTGATTATTTCGTCAAGAAGTATTCTGCACCAGACAACATCAACCAGAACAGGATCAGTAGACATGTGTAATGTACATTCCCAAATTTTGCAGGTTGTTCAAGTGAAAGCATCAAAGGAGGTCATTGTTAGTGCCGGGGCCCTGCATAGTCCCCAACTCTTAATGCTCTCAGGTATCGGACCATCACATCATCTCAAGGTCAGCGGAACATAAAACACACTAAATCGTTGTGTCCTTTCTTCATTCATAAGTTCACTCTTAGTTCCTTACAAACAACAGTGTTCGTCTTACGCTGTTATTGAAAACTAGTGCGATACGCGTTGCACAAAACTATCATCCTCAAAGGGTCGCTCAAATAAGTGATGGTCATCGCAAAAAGAAGCAATGAATTTAATTTTATACTTTCTTGCGTTTAGCATCACACCATCGTGCAATATTTCTGTATCACAGAAAACGTGCAGTCAAAATTACAGTCTGATTGCTACCAGGGTCTAGAAAGTATTGCCTTAAAGGCCAGGGGAAATAGGCTGGAACTTCGGAGTACGCTTTCTTGAACTTCGGCGAACTTCAGTGAACTCTTGTGAACCTCAGGAACTTCGGTGAACTTTGCTAAACTTCTACCAAATTTCTTGAACTTCGAACTTGTTAAGAGCTATGAAAGCAAAATTCTCGCTTCGTAATTTTTGTTATTCGATCCGTAAATATCTGCTTTGAGTAAGCTGGGGACTCGGTTGTAGTAAGCACTTAAAATCGCCACACTGTAATTCGAAGTGTCATACTTTTCACACATTTTCGTGTGATAAAACGCCCCATGTGATTCCCACGATTTATCACTCCTGGAGAAGGGGTCAATTTTTATCACAAATTTTATGTGATGCCTATTGCGAAGTAATGCGATGATTTCGGATTTCCTACAAAACGGTGTGAATGCACATCGCACAAAGCTGTGATACATAAAAGTATCGCTCAAATGAGTGATGGTCATCACAAATATAAGCAATGAATTTAATGATGTACTTTTCCTGCGATGATCATCACAACATCGTGCAATATTTTTGTATTACAGAAAACTTGTAGTCTGTATCACACTCTGATTTACAGTGCAATTGCAGCCTAAAATATGTATTAACTTATTTTTAAACTTCAGTGAACTTATACGATTTATTTTGAACTTCGAGGTACTTTGACGTTTGATTTTGAACTTCAGTGAACTCCTTGAACTTCGGTGAATTTCAGTAAACATCGACCTGATTTTACAAACCGAACTTCATTGAACTTCGGCTGAACTTCGGCCGAAGTTCATGGACTCCGACTTCGGGCGTTCGTTTTTTTTTTCTGGAGCCTATTTTCTCTTGGGAAACATTTAATCGTATTGCCTTTTGCACCCAGAAAAATGGATAGCTGTAGCAACCATCGTATGGTAAGCCAGGGACAACCATAAAAATATGGTCGAGCCGACAGTCTTATGGTTCCACCAACATTGACAATTGTTAGACTACCTGTTTTCATGGTCGGCGCAGCCATAGGATTGTTGTCACAACCATATTTTTATGGTTGTCCCTGGCTTACCATACGATGGTTGCTACAGCTATCCATTTTTCTGGGTGTGTTTACAGAACCTAAATGTTGACGTGGTAAGCGACCTGCCAGTTGGCGAGGGCTTGATGGACCACCCAGACGTCCTCGGTGTTCAGTACAAGTGCGGCCCGCCCCTGTGCGTCCACGACTGGGAGACCCGCGAGGAAGACCTACGCCAGTACAACAGCAGCCGCGAGGGGGCCCTGGCTGCCGCCAACATGCTCCAGCTGATGGCGTTCCTGAGGTCGCATAAGGCGAGGCCCTGGACGGGGCACCAGCCGGACCTGCAACTTATCTTCCTCGGCAATACCCAAACAGAAGTTATTACACCGTATGCGATGCTGTCACTTCATTATTTGTCAAGCAGGGGCAGGCGGCAGGCTCATTACGACGCGTCCTAACAACAATGTTCTATCTGCAGCGTGCGGATTACACAATGTTCTATCTGCAGAGTGCTGAATAAACAATGTTCTATCTGCAGAGTGCGGATTACACGATGTTCTATCTGCAAAACGGGGTTAGGCGCACCCCTTCACCTTTATGTGGTTTACTAGTAACTGGAAGACATTAAGGCCAATCTGAGCACACGGAAAGAATCGTAAAGGTCCAATGTTTAATTATTGACTGCAAAAAGTGAAGTAGAACGAGCGGTTACGGAGTAATAAGCATTCCTTTGGAGGTGTCCCGAAACCCGCGTTTTGCAGATAGAACATTGTGTAATCCGCACGCTGCAGATAGAACATTGTTGTTAGGACGCGTCGATTAGGCCTAACCTTCCGCAAAACGAGCTTACCAGCGACACTTCACTTTACTAGCAACACGGTGAAAACGATGTCTCATTTTTTGAGGGGAAAGGGAAAACTTTGAGGAACTCCCCTGGTTTGACAAAAAACTCCTCAGGTTTCCAGGATGTCTTCTCAAAAAATGTTGGACTTTTCCTCCTTTTTTGAGAAGATTCCTCAAAATCTGAGGCGAGGACTCTTACTCAAACATGGGAGTTCCTCAAAGTTTTCCCTTTTTCCTCCAAAAACAGGACTCTGTTTTTACCATGGAGTAGAACTATAATGGAGTAGCAACTAAGTACGTTGAAATGTGTGCCGCGCTGGCTGGCGAAGCTATCTCCTCTGAAGCCAATGTGCTTAGAAATCTCACCCACTCAGTTTTTGAGAGCCTATGGTCTACTGCAGCTAATGATGCGCTTGTTTTGAGTGTAGCATCATTCAAACTGGAGCTGCGACGCCTGGATGGAACGCCGCAGATTCTTTTTCGGCCATGTGCCACCCGTGTATGTAGAGAGAGACAGAGTGAGGGTCATGTTTCTTCGAATGAGGCCACTCAATAATAAGTTTTTACTTCAAATCCTTTTTTTGTACACAACCGTGAAACCCCTGAACGCCGCAGTCTCAGACGGTTATTATTTCATGGGCATTTATGACCCTGGCTCTCGCTACACTCAAAACAAGGGCATCATTAGCTGCAGTAGACCATAGGCTCTCAAAAACTGAGTGGGTGAGATTTCTAAGCACATTGGCTTCAGAGGAGATAGCTTCGCCAGCCAGCGCGGCACACATTTCAACGTACTTAGTTGCTACTCCATTATAGTTTTTACCGTGAAGTCAGTACGGAAGGGGCCGGGCCTACTTTGCTTGCCCGGCCGACGGCGCTTGGTCGGCACTGCTGCCCGACCTAAGAGTCACTATACATTTCTGCACTAACATCGCTCTGCCTGCAGGTGGGCATCCAGCCTGCCAAGAAATGAATTTTAAACATGAGGAAACACCGTAACGATGAAACATTTCTTATTTTTAGACATACCCCCTCTTTTGATATCCTTTTACGTCTTAGGTGGACCAGCCTTTAGGTGCGTGTATCACAAATTTTCGATGTCGAGTTGAGCATGTCCTTTCTTTCCACGAATTAAATCGTCAAATTTTAACCAAATCAAATCAAATTTCTCTATTTCGAATGCTACATTTGATTACCAGTTTTGAATTGCAACATCGCACTTTACCAAGAGCAATCAACTTTATTTTAAAAGATTGGGGCCAAGATTCTCTCCGAAAGAAAACCGTTGAACGGACCTCTTCTCCGAAAAGAAATCTGCCCTCTCAGGACAAGTTTTCGTGTGGACAGTTTAAGAGCTTTTGCAGATTTCTATTTCAAACTCTCAAAATTTTGATGAACCGAACTTGTTCGATTTTGCTGGACTATTGTTTGTACAAAATATTTTGTAATTTACTAGATACAAAATATGCTGTACTCGTCTAAAATAGCAATCTTGCTCGTTAATGGTTTTCAAGTTGAGACACAGTGCTTGTAAATTCACAATTTTTTATTGAAAATGCACGACACCTTGCCTGGAAAATTTTCATGTGCACGGTACAACAGATTCCTACAGTGATCTCGTCTGTGATGGTAAAAAGAAAACGACCATCTCATTTCTAATTTATTTTGTTTCAAGGTGCGAGTCAAATTCTTCATACGCAAATAAGTGGACTTATTCCGTGTTTGCAGAAGCCATTATTTAGGGTTGGCTGGCGTGGAAAAATTAACAGTACGACATTGAAAGTTTACGATTTCACCGAGGGGGTCCAAAGTGTGTACCTCTATTTTCATAGGATATCTTCTTTTAAAGTTGACGCGCAGGATTCCTCCGGAGAAAGTGGCGATAAAAAACTGGTCAATAGCTTGTTTGATTCAGTTCACAGATTACAGAATGACACAGGGCAGGGGTTTTACTGAATTTTGAAAAATAAAAATTATTCATAATGAGTGTCTTTGAAAATATATTTTTTACTCAAAATAGAGAATAATTTTTATTTTTCAAAAGTCAGTGAAACCCCTGTGTCAATCTGTAGTTCTTGATGAACTGAAACAAATAAGCTATTGACCAGTTTTCTATCACCACTTTCTCCGGAGGAATCCTGCGCCTTAACTTTAAAAGAAAATATCCTATGAAAATAAAAGTAGACAGTTGGGACCTCTTCAAAGATAAGTTCATTTCAATCTGATATTGTTAATGTGTTAAGCCATCCCTTGTGTCAGCCGGTAGCAACTCCCTACGGCTGGGCTGACACACTGTCTCGGCCGCGCCGCTGGGCCGGGGCGGCGCCCGCGCGCGCTGGGCCGGGGCGGCGCCCGCGCGCGCTGCAGCTCTCTTTTCTATTTGTCATATCTCCTGTACCGCACCTCCTTTTAACAAAGCGCCTTATGGCGCTAGAAAGAGAAAAGAACGAGGAATCTAATGATATAAATAAAAGTCACTGAATCGAACCGGAAACATTTTAAAATGCGAGTTGAACACGACCTACGGGGTCCGAAGACGTGACAGGGCACCCTATTTTCATTTTTTTCGAGGTTAAAAACGCTTTTAACCCGCCTACCACCAGTGAATCAAATGTTCTACAGATTATGCCGAATCAGAATAGCAAGGTGCGATTTTTCTA